AAAAAATGGTTTGTGCACATCTGCAGTTCATGAACGCGCGGCAGCTGAAGGCGGCTGAAGGAAAAAGGTTTGGGGAAGGTAGCGTGAAGGACCATGAAACAAACCGATCAAATTAGACAGCTTGAGCAACGGTTCACTCAGCAGGTGCACGAGAAAGCGTCCTTTCTCGCTTCACAATCTCAAACCACCGTCTTCGTTGGGCAGTGGATGGAATGAGATTCACTGCCCCCCTGCTTGAACTTGGGAGGAAAGGCGAGTGAAGTAACCCTTCGGAACAGGGCTGGACACACACACACAGCCCTTTAATGCAAAAAACCAACGCAGTAGTCAGCTTTTGCCATACTTAGATTCACAGCAATTCCAAAGGGTGAAACAGTTTAACTAAAGCAGGTACGTTTGCACCTCCCTGGCGCCGGTCTTCGTTGGCCAGGACGCGCACCAGGGAGTCCTGGCCCCCTGCTTGGTTGAAACTGCACAACGGACATGAGTACATTGGCTGGCAAACAAATGTTGGTGACCTTTAAAGACAGGGTGAGACACACACACACAAACAGGCTTGCAGTCTTGCCGTGCCCTTGCAGCCTATTGTGGTCTCCGTTTTGACACAGCTTCTGGGATGGTCGCTTGTCGTTGCAAAATTCCGTGGTAGGACCAGGACAGGTGCATCTATCAAATGCGGGAATGTGTGGAGAATATATTGTGCTGAGTGCAAGATGTCAGAGCATGCCTCAAGAAGAGTGCGTCATTGAAGAAACCATATAAAGTTTGTTCATTTCTCGAAAGAAACCTAGAGGGTCCCCTGTCAGTGAGTTTTTGCACAAGATCAATAACAAGATATCTGACAGCACAATGTTGCAGAGCCCTTGCTCATGAAGTGTGCCACCGCACTGAAGCAGAGGCCGGAAGCACTGCATTCATTGAAACACTCAATGAGGATTGAACTTTTTGTTGGGGCTGACAGGTTGGTATGATTTGGCATGCTGATCTGAAAAAATGCATTTGTCAGTGCTGCAATCTCTTTGTCATCCTGCTGCTCTTTCGCCAGCTTGCTTCAATCCTTTCCATGTTTTTCTGGTTTCACATGCTGTTTTTGTCGAGCCGAGCGAAGTTGTGGGTTGAAGGTCACCTTGAAGGGTCTGAGAATGCGGAGCACTCAGATGTGGACATGAAAAGAGTTTGTTGCATTCGCTACTTCTCTACTCAACCAACAATACCTTCCTTCAGCTACTCTTGCAGAATGCCACAACATGCAACGTGACGGAAACCGAAGCCTGCTCCAGTTGTGATGGCTACTAGACACTGATTCCTTCACCACAGCCTCCACGACCATCCACTGGTTCAGATTTCTTCACACAGATGTTTTTGATCCTTGCTGCTGCGTTGCACCAGGTGGCTACGAGGCGAGATCATTGGATGGGTTTCATCGAAGCACGGGAGTTTCAGAGGTATTTATATAGTTTATTCATGAATCGTTGCCTTACCAAAGAGCAAGGAAGAGAGGTGGATGTTTAGCTTGGACGAAGCAGGTGTGCCGGGATCCCCACACTCCAACAAAGTCAGTTGCCGCAGCCACAATAGCCGACCTCCGAAGCCCTGGATTTGAATGACAGGTGCATCATGGACAAAGCCTTGCAGCTTGTTTGGATTCAACCAAATTAGGAAGCAATCGGCCCTACATAGGCAGAACGTTGTTTTCAATATGCAGGAGACTTGGAACGGACTAGTCACCAAAAGAGCAAGGCCTCAAGCAGCTTACACCTAAGCGCTAGGTTCGGGCTGCAGCATTGCATTCTTGTAAAGATGACCTACTTACAAGTGTTCATGGCTGGTGTTCTGGCTTGACACATGCCCGAGCATGTCCTGGCGCTGTCATATCGCTCATGTACATGCAGCAGGCTTGTTTGGGAATGCGGTCTGGGAGGAAACTGAGAGAAGTACAAATTCCAGTTGAGAGAGGAAAAGGGGAACTCTTGGATGAAGGATGTTTGCTGTAGCCTGAGAGCACCTCATGCCAAGATGATCGAGGTTTTGTTCTCCTCGTCACGTGGGCCTGGTGGCGATGGAAGCAACGTTCCGGTGCAGAGCGGTGGCAGCCGGACCAGCGGCGGCAGGACCGAACTTCCCTGCGCTGCACACATCAGAAAGACAGCAAGCATTTCATGCGCTGGCGAAGCTGTTTGGACCGGACCTATGCGTTTCACCAGTGAGCCGACCAGTAGAGGAAGAGTGCTCCAGCTCCTGGTGGCTATTTTCTTTAGACTCCGCTTTCGAGGTGTGGCCACTCACCAGTGAGGCACTGGCTGGACCAGTTTGGACCGTCAGGAGGGCTCCGTGAGCTTTGAGCTACCACCCGAGGCCTTCTTCCGAGCCGAGGCCAAGGCTGCACGAGACCTGGGCGTGCTGGCAGCGCCTCAGATTTGCTTGTTGGGACCTCTTAGTTACTAATGCTAGTGGGGAAGCCAAGTAGAGGAATGGGAACTTGAGAAGAGTTCAATCTTTTTGCTACTTGTCATCAAATGGTGAGGGTGTTTTGCCTGGCTCAACAATGACATAGCCAGCACATGTACAACGGGATATATGAACATTCATTTCATTTGCAAAGATATTTGGGTGTTTCATTTGATTCTATAGTTCCTGAGGTCAGATGACCCTGATTGCCCCATCCAAGGTCGCCATCTTGCGCGCGCGCCGTGGCTACGCCTCGGTACTGGAGCTCTTTGCTGGGAGCGGCCTGCGGGCGGCCAGGTATCTGGCGGAAGGTCGGGTGTTTTTCCTTACTGTAATGCTTTTTGGTCTCATGTGGTCTCATGGATAGTTTGGCGAGAACGCACTCAACAGGGCCAAGCAGCATGATTCAGGAATATGGGACTTGGGAGGGGTTTTCATTTGTGGGTGATGTACCTTTTCGGCGAGGTTGAGGCGGTTCTGGCAAGAGTACTCCGTCAGCCAATGGGTTTGTTTCGAGAGATCGCCTGCAGAACCTATCAGACAGGGCCCTTTGTGAGAAAGTAACATACATGAACAGGTCTAGGCCTTATCATTTCCGATGAAGTTGGCTACTGGGGTTTACGGCAATTTGCAGCTCATCGCTACTAGAAACAAGGACGCTACGAGGGGCTCCTGGCCTTACTACTAGGAGCAAGAAGCTACTAGGAGCAAAGGGCATCGCTACTAGGAGCAAGGATGCTACTAGGGGCTCCTGGTGAGGCAGCTGCGACTTCATTTGGGCCAACGAGGCCAACCAGGATGTGCATCAAGCGGTGGTGGTGAACCTCACGCGTGCGACGGGACGAACGGGACGGGTTGGCCGCTGTGATGACCTGCTGCCGGAGTGGGCCGCCCCGGCCCGGTCCTGGCGACTGCAAGAGGGCCTTCCACTGCATGGCTGTGAGGATCTTGGCGCAGTTTCCAGCGCTTTTGTTACTCTTTACTTGTTTTGAGGCGGCAGAGAGTTCTCTGCGCACGGTTGGTTCGCGCTTTACGAACCTGTCCATAGACCAAGATTTTTCATTGCATGCAGGTTCTGAAGATTTCCCTTTTTTGACACATGTAAAGTGTACTGTTGTATTTTTTTACATCCCAAAAGTACTCAGCGAATTGGAGCGTTCCGAGGCAGGGGCGCACCCTGGCTGGAGGTCTTGCAGGCAGGCGGACAAAGACTCCGCGTCGGTGGCCGTTGGGTGGCGTGTGACGCACTGGGAGGCCAGAGCCTTGTTGGGCGACTTGGTGTGAAACCGAAGACTGATGTCGATGCAAGGGAATGTTCGATGCGATCTGAAGACTTCGTGGTTTCTGACCCGGAAAGGCGTCGGATTGCATAGCTTTCAGCTTTCGCACCAAGTGTTTGTGGCACTCAGGCTATTGCCGCGCCACGCATCGACAATTCGATGTGGTTGATGTGGATGCCTTCGGGTGTTGGACTCACATTGGTGATGCGCTCGAAGCTGTACGGCCAGGTGTGGGGTGAGCAAGACCCCACCCATCCTCATTCACCTAAAGTCTAGAACCACAAAAAACACACAAAACCAAAGTGTTGCAAAAATTGCGAGCACTTCTTTTCGTTTTCTGAAGCTGCAGGTGGCCTCTTGTATCTCACCGCCACGGGATTGACCTCCTGGAAGCCTTCTCGCTCCTTTCGGGCCTTGGGCTGTTTGGGCCGCTGCCCACCGGCTGAGACCATCCACGACCAGATGTGCCGCGCACTGGTGTGGCACGTGGCACAGACGGCTGACCGGCTCAACCTCGTGGCGGAGACGATGTTCACGCTCTACCGAGCCAGTGGTGCTTTGGATCTGTCAGATAATCTCAGATAGTCAATTTATAGTCATTATATAGTCAATTTATCGACAGTTTGGCTTTGAAGTCTATCATTTTTGAAGGAGTTGCCAGCTTAGAATCAACAACAGCCACGGTACCTCTTTTGGGCTTGCTTTTGAGAAGTCGAACAGTCACCAATTCTTGTGTGTGCATTTCGTTGTTTTATTTTTATTTTTTAATTTTTATCTAGATCAATCAATTCATATAGCAGGCTTTAGCACGAGGTCCAACACTGCTTGTCCTTCAAGCATCTCCCAGGAGACGTTTACCGTCTGATGTTCCGGGTGACGCGACGCTACGGAGAGAGCTCGTTGCTTCCACAGTGCGTGGGCCTTTGCGCTTGCGGCAGCTTTGTAGGGCCAATAGAAGCTGAGGCCTTGTTTGGTAGCTTGGCTGCGGCTTTTTCAGAAAACTTAAGCTGACTGCTTTGCTCTCTGGAAGTAATTAATGTACCTATGACTGGGGTGTGTTCTCCGACCTTCCCGGTCGTGGCGATCTTTTTAACCTTTGTCGAATCATGGAAAAGCCAGGCGACATGGAGGGTGACCAAGATACATGGGGCTCACCAAACCAAGCTACTGCATCCAAACCGCATGGTTCTGCTAAACTCCATCCATTTGGACCATCCTAACCACATGCCTCCCAGGCGCGAGGAGCTTCAGCCGCAACTGCGAGGCGTGCTCCGGTGAAGTGGTGCCTCGATCGGAGTGGTGCGGACCGAGTGGGTCCAGCTGCCATGACCTCCAAGACATTGGGCGGCTCGGGGCATTGGAGGGGGATTGATTCATGGAGATTGAAAGTCAGTCCTGTTGCGTAGAGATTGCAGATTTCTCCCAGGAAAGGATTCACGATGTCCAGGGTTCGTCTTTTTGTGTTGACATGCACCCACACTTACCCACAGAGTTCAATCTCCAGGCATTGAAACCCCCAAAAAGGATGTGGCTTACGATGCAAGTGATCATTTGGGGTAGGGGCTTTCCGAGGCTAGGCATTTTGAATCATGTTGACTAGTTCGTTCTTTTACTTATAACCAATAGCTGCCTTTCTAAGGCCTTTTGGGGGCCACTCTGGGTTGGCCCTCTGCAGTCAGACGCTCGGGTTCTGGCACGGGTGGTGATGGGGTTGCACGTTCGATACGCGCCAGCGTGCGTATGGGATGGGTTGACTTAGTAGCTTCTTGTTACTAGTAGTAAGGCACTTGTTACTAGAAGCGATGCACTTGTTACTAGTAGCTTCTTGTTCCTAGTAGTAATGCCAGGAGCTACTAGTAGCGTCCTTGCTCCTAGTAGCGATGCCTTTTGCTCCTAGTAGCTTCTTGTTACTAGTAGTAATGCCAGGAGCTACTAGTAGCTTCTTGCTCCTAGTGGCGATGCCCTTTGTTACTAGTAGCTTCTTGTTAGGTTCAGTCTCTTTCAATCGCAAGGTGTATAGAATCTTTATGAATCTTTTAGTGTGGGCTTTGCATGTCCGACCTTCTCAATGCTTTTTGGGTGATCATAGGGCTTGTTGCGTGGATCAAATGAGCGCCAGGCCTTGTTCGGACAAGATGTTATACTAGGGGCCAATGACATAGGGCTTGTGAAACTATAGTCGAAGTAGCAGAAGCCTATGTCATGTGGAAAGGTACTACATGCCACAAACCCTATGTCATGAGGCCAAACGTGCGAAAAGGGCCCTGGCATGAACAATTATGTTGTCTCATGTTTTTTAAAATTTCTGGATTTCAAGAGGTTTTGGACATTAAACCACATATGACATAGGACTATGTCAGCCAAATAGCATGTGGCAAGTCGTAGATGACATAAAACAAACAAGGCGCGTGACTAAGTCATTGAGCATTTCCTGGTCATGTATTCACCTTGGGCGGGTACTTTCTTTAAGGTTTTTTTAAAGGTAAACTTGCTGGCACAATGCCCACACACCCTATGTCATCCTTCAGTTTGGTGCGTTCACCCAGTTTGCTACTGGCTGATGACTTAGGACTACCCTCAGGGACATTCCTATGTCATAATTTGAGCATATTCCGATGTCATCAGCCCCTAGTATAGGTCAAACGTCCGTGGGTGTAACCGACAATTGTGGGTGGTCGTGCAGGTTACTTGCTAGATTCTGCACCGAGTACTTCTCCACTCTCCTTTCTCGAACCCCTGGCTTTCCCGCTGCCCGCTGTCTCTTTTTTCCCAGTTGCATGCTCTGTGTGACACTTTGACCCACTCTTATATAGATTGATGCCTTTCAAAAAACAATTGCCCGGCCCCGAAACGGATCAAGAAACCAACCAGGTAACAACTTGGAGGATGCGAGCTTCACCATCACAAAGCAACCTAACAACAACTACAACCCTACAACCATCAGAAACGTCAACCTTGAGAGGCAAAAGCCCAGATTCTTCCTTCTTTGCCATCTGAGGAGGACTTCTTAGAGGAGCTGCAGCGAGATGCAGAACAGTACGGGCTCCAAGGCACGAGGGGACTGGGGAGGCGATCCAAAGAAGTCCGCAGTCGCAAATTTGTTTCTGGAGGGATGGAGGTAGCCAACATCATCATGATTCATTGGGCTTTCAAATCGTTTCACTTCTTCTCTTTCTTTTGCGCCATCGTGCAACTTCGTTGTGGATGTGGATGGCAAGCAGGCGAGCAGTCTATCCCAGTTCTTCCTTTTTTGCATTCTTTTTTCTTCCTGCACCACCTTTCCTGGGCTGCTGCGGTTTAAATGGCTGACCACACCTTGCCATGCTTTGTCCAGGCCTCCAGCCGCTACTGGCAACTCTCCGCGCTGAGAGCCTTTGGCCGCCGCCGCGCCCCTGGACGTTGCGGCTGAGCGAACTGGCGCGGCGTGCGCGGCGAGCGCCTGTGAAGCTCCAACGGCTTTTGGAGGGGTTGCAAGCTGAAGGGCACAGTGCTGGTCGAGTTCGCCAACTGGGGTCAGACTCTTGGAGATTTGAGTGAGCCGGAAGTTGCAAAGACCGACCACCGGAGATGAGGAATCCTGGGAGGACTTCAGAAGACTTCCAGCAGGAAGACATTTCTTTATTGTGCTTGAGGTTCATTTTGAGACTTGCATTTCTTCATGTGCTAGAGTTGTCACCCCAGAGACAACGACATCTTGTATGTGTTTTCAATGAGCAGCTGTTAGCAAAATGATTGATTGCCGAAGACCCTGCAAAGGCAAGAGTGAACACCCATGCTTCAAGCCTCTTCAAGCAAACGCACCATCAAGCCTGAAGTGGATGGGCTCACCTAGTGGATCAGGCAACAGACCCGGTATGCCCAACATGGAACCAGCAACCCGGAATGCGCGGGTGCACTCGTTTGCACGTTTGCACGGAGTCATTGTAAGTGAATCACCCATTCCACGCGTCGCCACGTGGAGTCTATCTAAGGACTCCTTCCGCACCTCTGCGACCACAGCTGAGGCTGTGGCGCTCTTGCAGCGTTTGGCGGATGCGAAAAAGAGCTGCTGGCGATGGAGCAAAGGATCCGGGGTTACTATGGGTTCTGTACTTGAAACTGCAAGCTGCAAGTGACAAACCATGGACATATAACCCATGCGTTGCTCAATTGACCATGGCTAACAAACATCAAACCCGAGGACGTGTAAGACCCTCTCAACAAATCTTCCTGGGAACCTGAGGCCAATGGTCTGACCGCCTCGCCCAACCCAAGCGACTGTTATGTCGTGCAGTTGTTCATAACAGTTGGCTCCTCGGAGTTGCATCAGGCCCTAATGCAGCATTGTTCAACTCTGAAACAGACATCGAATGACAAGCGTTTGTCTTGCGCAGGCGAACTGAAGCCATGGCCTTTGAGGTGAGGTTCAATGTGGCAGGGGCAAGAGTTGGGAAAGTGGAAGGAAGGACTTTCCTTTCGAAAACAGAGGTACCTCCCATCTTTGTGACCTGCAAGCAGCCTGTAAGCATGGCAAAAGGGCTTCAGCCACTTGGTTGCTGCCTTAGCATGCCCATTCCAGTGATGCTGTACCCCGAGTCCAGTTCTTGACCTTGCACAAGCCTTCAAGAACAACTTCTGTGCAAGCGTAAGTTTAAAAGATATTCCAAGTCAGAAGGACGCTTAGACACCTACCTCATGGGCATTTCTCACAAGCTGGCATGAGATGCATGGTCCCTAATCATGTCATCGATGCCATACTGACTGCCAGCAAGCTTGGTCATGATGGTCAGCATGCATGTTGTGCAAGGAGTATACAGTCTACAGCGATGGTTTTGAGATGCTTTGAGCGTGTACAACCAAAATGGTGTTGTGTGATGCACGCGCACCATCCTGCCTTTGATTTATATAGGGATTCTTTGTTCAGAAAGCATGGGACCCTTGACTAAAGTGAAACAGGTTGCAGCTCTGGGCTCAGATCGCATAGTTGGAGCTGTTTTGCGGAGCTTTGCTAACATGATGCTGCTCAAATGGGGACTCTCATATGCATTGCATGTGGGATGGTCTCAACGGGGCCTTTGCTACCAGACACTTCAAGTTGTTGTGAGCTGTCTTGGGCTGTCTTGAGGCGGTGCAAGACTTTGTGCAATTTCCATGAGTTTCAACTTAAAGCAGTTTGACTAGTGCGGCGTTGGGGTGGGCTACCCACCTGCCCTTTCCGCAAAAGTAATCGGTTGTGGACAAGTCCAAGCGATGTCGTCTGAGGAATCGGCCTGCTGGCATTGAGACTCGTGAGCACAGCAGAGGCTGTCTCAGATCGAGAATCCGATTGGTTTGGGTCCGCTGAGAGGGTCTTTGCGTGCCAAAGACGCAAGGAACATCATGATCATAGTTCAAGCACCTAGAGATGCTGGTAGAGGCTGACCTTTGCAGTGTTGTCCCTTTAGTTTCAATTGAATCACCTCCACATCAGGATTCGCAAACAGGGAATCCTCTCCATCAGGTGGAGTTCAGCAACGTGACGCATGTAGAGGCCGTCCAGGGATATCTCTTGGGACTCAAGGGACCGTGAAGACCAAGAGACACAAGAGATCCCAAGACCCTGCTTTTCTCTGTGAGCAAACTTGCAAACCCCCGATGAAACTTGCCAACATTTGTGGAAATGTACCAACCCATTAGACTGATTGTTGCACTGATGGATGTTCAAGAAGCAAGCGGCATCCCAGAGTTGATCGAATTGAACTATGAGCACTGCTTAGTTTGGTTTGTGAACAAAGCTGGCCCATTGGTCCAGCAGTGTTTGCATTTCCATCTGACGGCAACAACTTGGAGGCCAAATTGCCTCCACTGCGAAGCATGAGTAGCTGGCTCGACACGGCCAAGAAGATCGCAGACATCAAAGAGGCGCCGACGATGGGGAAGAGGCTTCACGGCTTTCTCTAAATCTGTTCTGTTTTGGCATCCCTTTAGCATTTGTCACCTACAAGACCCCTGGCCCAAGCTTGACTTCCCCCTTCATGGTTTTAACCAACAGGAAACCCAGATTTTGATCATTTGCTCCTGCTGTGTCCATATGTGATGCAAAGTCAATTTCTGCGAGATGTCAGATTGATTGCAAGCCGAGCCGGCCACGTTTTGGGAGGCGTAAACGAACAGCTGGAGTACTACTGTACAGGGTATGGATCCTTCTTCACCCCACACCATCCCGCACCCACATGGTATGCCTTGGCCAGAAAGTCAACAACGAGTTCACCACGGTCATTGACGGCCATGTGGTCCGGGCCTGTGAAATGGGGAGCCTTTTGACTGCGTCGCCCTTGCATGATTCTTGCATGGCTGGAATTACATAGTGGCATAGACGGCATAGAGGCTTCAGGTCGACGGTTTTAGAGGACAAACACTGTTGAGGCACAAAAGATCCAAGCAGCTTAAGCGATCTTTGGTCCTCTTTTAGGTCCAAGCACTCGGACCTCAGGTCCATCACGTTGGCAAGGGCAGGAAGGCGGAGATTGCCCAGTGCGTCTTCAGTGCTTTGCTGGCTGGTCATCAGCTGGCCTCCGCAGGGGAACCTGGAGCTCGCGGGCATGGTAAGGCTTAGACTAGGAAGACGAAGACCACACACACAAAAAAGTATACATTATAAATGTTGTAAACTGTGTACACATGAGAAATTGAGACTATTTTTTTCCCAAACAGTTTACAGTTGGGGTTCTCTCTTAGGAAAAAAAGAGCTGGCCACAGTCTTTGGCCGCGCCCTTAAACCTTGTGTCCGGGTGTTGTCCTCCTGTTGCCCTCTTCTTGTCCTCCTGCTCTTCTTTGGCCACGCTGGCAAACCCTGTGTCCTCCTTTTGTTCCCAAAACAATTTACGTTGTCATCGTCCAGTCCAGGCTTTGTCTGTTCTGTTGGCCGCGTGTGTCCTGCTTGGCCGGGCCGAACAAGCGGCCCTTTTACCACAGCCTTGTCTGGGCCTTGTCCGCTGCTTGGCCCCGCCGCTTTTTCTTATCCATCGCCTTGTCCAGTAGCTATGAATGCAACAGTGATGCGGTGTTTCAAATTTAAAATTATCCTCATGACATCCCTTCGTTTTTCACATGTGACTCGGGCATGAGGAACTGTTGTTTTCAAACATTTGTTGTTTTCGTGCTGTTCCCAAACAGCTGGAGGCTATAATTGACACTTAAACATATTATTGCTGACACTGTGTGGGGTCTATGCTGGCCTAATGATAATGTGGAAAGTTCTTGAAGTTAGCAGCTGCCCTCTTGTTGCTTCCACTTGATCTTTTGCCTGAACAAGTTGAGTTTCAAAGTGCAAGTTGCAGCTTAGTTTGAGAGCGCTGTCTTCTTCTTTGATTCTTGAACCCTTTGGCATCCGGTGTCTTTTCCGAAGGGGAAGCCTTTCACATTCATCCAATCAGGGCTTTGATCAGCAGTGAACGGACTTTCAACATAATACTGTCATGATAGGCCAGGCCGACAGGCCTCCAGCCACCCTCTTTTGTGGGGCCTATCTTGTACGCATAAGGAAAGCAACTCTCTAGGTCTAGTTATTTTTTTGGAAGAACTTATGTTCATCCAGCCCATTCCAACCCTAAAATGACGGCTCAGGCGGGCATGGCTATTACGGCTGGAGTGCAAACCTGCGGCTTCGGAGTTGCTTGACAGCACATGATGAGTCAGTGATAGGGTGTGCAGTTGGGATACTTCGGAATCGGTCCAGGAGAAAATAGAAGGGGACCCAGACACCCTTTTTTCTTCTCGATATTTCTCTAGAAACATCAGCCGATTTGTCTCAAACGGCTCCAAGGGTGTGGAGCGGAAGATCGAGGCACAGTGTAGCCGTTTCTTTCGATTTTGAGGTTTTTGGGCAACGGACTCTGACCCTTAATGCAGCTCAATGCAGTATCCTATCTCTAAGAGGTGCACAGCATCAGCGCACAGGTATGGTCGGCCAGGCCATTTCAGCAAGAGCTTTAGTCCCATTCAGGAGTGGAATTAGGTATCATGATTCCAAAGGGACAAATGCCGAAGGGCTGAGCTGAACTGAATGTGTTCGATGGCAGGCCTGCACTGCGAACATTGGAGGTGCGATGGCCACCATCGCTGGCGCAGCCTCCTTTCTCTCAGAGGCCCTCAATGGGCTGGGAGAAGGGAGTGCGACCATGTGGCATACAGGAAAAATCGCTAGAGCGGCAAAATAGTAGGTAGCACAGAGGACTTGCAGGAGGTCGCAGTTGGCCAATGTGCACCGCGTTGACCTCTTTGCCAGCGACCGTTGAACTCGAAGCCCAAACTCCCCGGACTTGAAGTCTAACGAAACTTTAAGGACTGGCCCGTGCTCCTGGTGTTTGGGGACTGATGTCCTGCCCAGTTGGCGATCACCTGTCCCAGTGGCGACAACTGGAGAGCCGGGTGTGCAAATCCCATCCTGACGCTTCTCAGTGGATTGTAACTGGGCGCAATTGCGGGGGGCAGGAGATGAGCTACGCGCCGTAAGGAACTTTAGCCCACGCAGGTTGGCTCAGACTCTCCTTGTGTGTATATTGCTGTGTATGATAATA